CTTGATGCTGGTGTTATCTACCCTATCTCTGATAGTACTTGGGTTTCTCCAGTGCATTCCGTCCCTAAAAAGGGTGGAATGACTGTTGTTAAAAATGAAAAGGATGAACTGATCCCTACTAGAACTATAATTGGTCATAGAATGTGCATTGATTATAGGAAGTTGAATGCTGCATCTAGGAAAGATCATTTTCCTTTACCATTCATTGACCAAATGCTCGAACGTTTAGCTAATCATCCATACTATTGCTTTCTTGATGGATACAGTGGTTTCTTTCAAATACCAATTCACCCTAATGATCAAGAAAAAAACACTTTCACATGTCCTTATGGAACTTTTGCTTATAAGAGAATGCCATTTGGTTTATGCAATGCTCCTGCAACATTTCAGAGGTGTGTGACCTCTATATTTTCAGACTTAATCGAGGAGATGGTGGAGGTTTTCATGGACGATTTTTCGGTCTATGGCCCCTCTTTCTCCTCATGTTTGTTGAATCTTGGCAGGGTATTGACCAGGTGCGAAGAGACGAATCTTGTTCTCAATTGGGAAAAGTGTCATTTCATGGTGAAGGAAGGCATAGTGCTGGGTCACAAGATATCAGAGAAGGGTATAGAGATTGACAAAGGAAAAGTTGAAGTGATGATGCAGTTGCAGCCACCAAAAACGGTGAAGGACATCAGAAGTTTCCTTGGTCATGCTGGGTTCTACAGAAGATTTATTAGAGACTTCTCCAAGATAGCCAGGCCGTTAACCAGACTATTGTGCAAGGAAACCAAATTTGAATTCGATGAGGACTGCCTCAAATCCTTTCAAACCATCAAGGATGCTTTGGTATCTGCTCCGGTTGTTCGAGCGTCTAATTGGGACTATCCATTTGAGATCATGTGCGATGCATCAGATTACGCAGTAGGAGCTGTTTTAGGCCAGAAAAAAGACAAGAAGCTTCATGTCATATATTACGCCAACCGAACGTTGGATGACGCTCAGGGAAGATATGCAACAACTGAGAAGGAGCTTCTAGTTGTTGTATTCGCATTTGAGAAGTTCAGAAGCTATTTGGTTGGATCAAAGGTAAATGTCTATACAGACCATGCAGCTTTGAGGCATCTGTATGCCAAGAAGGATACTAAACCAAGACTGTTGAGATGGATACTTTTATTGCAGGAGTTTGACATGGAGATAGTAGATAAGAAAGGCATTGAAAATGGTGCAGCTGACCATCTGTCAAGGATGAGAATTGAAGAACCCCTTCCGATAGACGATTCAATGCCAAAAGAGCAGCTCATGATTGTAGAGTTCTTCGGAAGGAGCTACAGTGGGAAAGAGTTCCACCAACTGAATGCTGTTGAAGGAGAATCTCCATGGTATGTTGATCACGTCAATTACTTGGCGTGCGGAGTAGAGCCTCCCAACCTGACAAGTTATGAAAGGAAGAAGTTTTTCAGAGACATACACCATTACTACTGGGATGAGCCTTATCTTTACACTCTCTGTAAAGGTAAGATTTACAGGAGATGTGTCTCAGAAGATGAAGTGGAAGGTATCCTGTTGCATTGCCATGGCTCAGCATATGGCGGTCACTTCGCGACGTTCAAGACAGTGTCCAAGATTCTTCAAGCAGGCTTTTGGTGGCCAACAATGTTTAAGGACGCTCAGAAGTTTGTTTCAAAGTGTGATTCATGCCAGAGAAAAGGCAACATCAGCAGAAGAAATGAGATGCCTCAGAATCCAATCTTGGAAGTTGAGATCTTTGATGTATGGGGGATTGATTTTATGGGTCCATTCCCATCTTCATACAGTAATAAATATATACTGGTCGCGGTAGATTACGTATCAAAGTGGGTCGAAGCTATTGCTAGTCCTACCAACGATGCAAAAGTTGTGCTGAAGTTGTTCAAGACCATAATCTTCCCAAGATTTGGAGTTCCCAGGGTAGTAATCAGTGATGGCGGGAAGCATTTCATCAACAAGGTTTTTGAGAACCTCTTGAAGAAGCATGGAGTAAAGCACAAGGTCGCGACTCCCTATCATCCACAGACAAGCGGGCAGGTTGAGATCTCCAATAGGGAGATAAAAACAATTATGGAAAAGACTGTTGGGATTACAAGGAAAGACTGGTCTACAATGCTAGATGATGCATTATGGGCTTACAGGACAGCCTTCAAGACCCCCATTGGTACAACTCCTTTGAATCTTCTCTATGGAAATCATGTCATCTACCTGTTGAGCTCGAGTACAAAGCAATATGGGCGGTAAAACTTCTGAACTTTGACATAAAAACTGCCGAGGAGAAGCGATTGATCCAACTCAGTGACCTCGATGAGATCCGTCTAGAAGCTTATGAGAGTTCTTAAATCTACAAGGAGAGAACCAAGCTTTTCCATGACAAGAAGATCATCACTAAGGATTTCCAGGTTGGTGATTAGGTGCTGCTATTCAACTCTCGCTTGAAACTCTTTCCAGGAAAACTTAAATCCAGCTGGTCTGGCCCCTTCTGTATCACTGAGGTCCGTCCTTATGGAGCAGTCACTCTAGCTGGTAAGAGTAGAGATTTTACAGTAAATGGTCAAAGGCTCAAGAAATACTTAGCAGACCAAATCCTTCCAGAGGTGACATCGGTTCATCTCCAAGAACTTCTTGATGATTAAAGGAGTAAAGGAGTCAAGCTAATGACTTTAAACAAGCTCACTTGGGAGGAAGTCCCATGACTATCTCTGTAAATAAATTTTTTATTTTCTTGTTATTTTTTATTTGTCTCGGTTGTGTTTGTGGTTCTCAGGAACGAAGGAACAATGTGGAGATAGAGTAAAAATTCAAAACTTTTACTCCACAGAAGATCTGGAGATCCATTGTATAGCCCGTTGGAGTACAAAATTTTGAAAATCATCTATTGCACCTGGAGACCAAAAACTTTTAAATCATCATTTTACTCGACCAACAGAAGCTACAGAGTCTTACAGGGAGTTTATCAGGTTTACAGTAGATTTCCTGCAGTTTTCCCAGTCAACAGAGCGTAAACCACGCGCTGAGGATAAGATGGAGAGAGAATCTCAAACTCAATCTCAGCCATTCCTTTCACTCGACCTTACTCTCTCCTGTTTTCAACCACTCGACCAAAACAACCAACTCGACCTTACTCTCTCCTGTTTTCCACCACTCGACCTAAACAACCAACTCGACCTCATAAGCCCTAGCCGTACTCGACCTCTGCCGCATCCACACAGTTCAATGATTCACTCGACCCGCAGAACCACTCGACCTCCGAGGACCACTCGACCTAGGCGCCGCCGTCACCAGTTCATTTCCTCCTTCACTCGACCGGACCTCTACAGTCGACTCCGTTGGGATACTCGTCCAATTCATCACATCAACCGTCGTCTCTTCCAAAAGAAGCTACTCGACCTCGTTACCCAGTCTCGTAGCCGCACTCGTCCGACGTCGCCTCAGCCGATTTCAACAACGCACTCTACCGACGCCGCCTCAGCCGATTTCAACAACTCACTCGACCTTTCCAGCGCCGCCGCTATCGAGTACTCCTCCTCGTTCACCGTTGAATTCTCAGGGTTCAAGATTTCACTCGACCTCGAGTTTTAACTCGACCTCTGCAACTGCAACTCGACTTCTTGAAATCAACAGAGCCCTGAAGCACTGTAATAGAGATTACTAGACCTCAAGACTTCACCGGCTGAACTCGACATCCACAATTCACTCGACCTTCAGGAACAGCTCAGGATAATCATGAGCAATTACAGTGGCAGTTCTTCTGTTGATCCTGAATACAACATGGATGAGACAGAGTCATCATCTTCAAGGGTAGAGAGAGAACAGAGAATATGAAAGCTTCAGAAGGAAAGCTGAGATAGCCCGAGGGAAGAGAGCGATGACAGAGAGGTATGAGCTTATAGACGAAGATCAGGAAGACGAGTACATGCCTGAACAGACTCGTAGAGCTACCAAACTTTTGCACAAGCCCGACGTATTGCCTGCTGAGGAATATGTTAGGCTTTTCAAGCTGAATGAGTTCTGTAGCACGAGGTATCCTTGCTCGACCTCACTTGCACAACTCGGATTGTTGGAAGATGTTCAGCACCTGTACCAGAGTTGTCATCTGGACACTCTGATGGCTTATCCGTATGTAGCGTATGAAGATGAGACAATACAATTCCTCTCCACGCTGCAAGTAGAGCTCTACCAAGGTATGACCTCTGATGAGTTGGATTGTGAAGGATTGGGATTCTTGCGATTCTCTGTGTATGGTCATGAGTATAGGTTATCAATCAAGCGCTTAGAAGGATTGTTTGGCTTCCCCAGTGGAACGGGATCTAAGCCCAAGTATGACAGAGAAGAGTTGAAAGACTTGTGGATCACCATTGGCAGCTCTGTACCGCTGAATTCTTCCAGGTCAAAGAGCAATCAGATACGCAGCCCTGTCATCAGGTACTTCCAGCGTTCTATAGCCAATGTACTCTACTCCCGAGAGATCACAGGGACTGTTACTAACTCTAATATGGAGATGATCGCAATGGCCCTAAAGGGAACTCTTCGCCAAACTAAGAATGGTATGTCTCTCCAAGGTGAAATCAATGACACACCTCTCTCTATACTTCTTCTGATCCATCTGTGTGGATACAAGAGCTGGGCTGTCAGCAATAACCACAAGAGAGCACGAGGCGCTCTGTGCATAGGTGGTGTAGTGACACCGATTCTGATAGCTTGTGGAGTCCCAATCATTTCTGCTGGACTCGAGCCGCGAGCAATGGAGATCGAGCACCTACGTCACTCCGAATTCCTGGAGTTTGCAATGGTTGACGACTTCCACAGGTTCAGGTTTGAGCACTCTACAGAGAGGAGAGCTAGCATCCTTCTCCCTAGGCCTGAGGTTACACAGATAATAGAGGGAGATAACATTGATTTTTGGCCTGAGGTTGGACGCCTCTACTATGAGAACGCTCCGCCATTGGATGAGGATGATCTTCTAGAAGAAGCTGCTTCGGATGGGATGGATGAAGATAGAGCAGTGGAGTTGGACATTAGCATGTATCACTTTGGTGAACATGTACCTCCAGCGAGGCAGAGCAAGAGTTTGACTGAAGCTTAAAAGAACAATAGTAAATTGCAGAAGTGGTGCAAGAAGCAGGACAAGCTGCTCGCCAAGTGTTTTAAGGCTTTCAAGCTTCTGACAGATAAGTTGAGTTGTTCCTCCTCCACCACGGCTATTCCACAGGGACAGCCTCCTCTGGAGATGCCATCGAGGAGATTTGATGAGCCTGCGCACAGGCCTGAGCTTAGCGAGGAGAGAGTCTCACATGTCCCGGCTAGGCATTCGTCATTCGAGTCCCGGGAGCACAAGAGAAGAAGGAAGGCTACACTCACTCGATCTAGCAGCAGATCACGCCTCATTCACTCGACCGCGGTGCTGGCCGCAGCAGAAGGAGAGAGGTCGAGTATCCTCAGAGCGGTGCTGGCCGCAACAGAGCTAATGAGGTCGAGTACCCACCTGCTGGAGCTGATACAGAACAAGGTGGTTCGTCTATGCCCTGGGAGCAATCATAGGCAGCCATTGACGAGCAACTACGTTCATTCTTCGACCGAGGTAAGCGCCTCACTTCACCATTGTATTATATTATCTGTTGTGATTTGTTTTTTTTTCATTTTGTTTCTGTGATTGGATTTGTCCTGAGTACTCTCTTCCAAGTTTATTCGCACAGTGGACTGTGTGATTTAAGTTTGGGGGAGGGCTCAGGAAGTGTGTGTTGCATTGTATATATTTTTGAGTCTGCATTCATCTAAGGGATAGAAAAACCAAAAAAAATTGAAAAATTTCAGAAAATGATTTCACAAAAAAAAAAGAGTGTTCATGTAATTGCATTACATTTAGAATCGAGTCTAGAGTGTTTCATTTAGGATTATTGCATATGCATAGGGGATGATGATGAGATAGCCTTGTAAGGATTATTGCATATGCATAGTTGTCTGTTGCGTAGTCAATGAATTTGAAATAAAACTGAACCATGCCTAGATTGCTCTACTCGACCATACTGTCATGATCTGATACCATTTCCTATCAATTTGAACCTGAATCTGATCTTGAATTATCATGTCTGCATCAAATTTGAACTCATGGATACCCTAAAATACTTGGATTTTCTTATTCATTTTGATCACTCTTGTTAATCCAAGTGCTGACTCTGCTTATTAGAGCAGTTAACCCAAACCCAAACCTAGACTTTCTTTCAAGCCCTATATCACTTGTGAGTGTTTGTGAGGTCTTATTCCGATTAAGTTTGGTAGAAAGTGTTAGGTTCGTAACGACAGAGATAGTGTCTCATGTAGTTCTAGTTCTCATTTTTCGGACTAGATAGGACTAGGTGGCCGCTTATACTTTGGGTTGGGATGTGTTTAAAAGAAAAAAAAAAGGGATTGATTCATTGATAAGAAAAAGTAAAAGACTCTAGGTGAAGTAAGCAAAGAAGCAGAAAAAGTCTAATAAAGGTTTTGGGATTTGAAAAGAAAAGAAGAGTTCTTGTTAGCTATTGAAGATGGGCGAAAGCCCTTGGTTTTAAAATGTTAAAAACAGGAACCTTAGTTGTTAAAGAAATCCAAATCCACTAGATGTGTCAAAGTGTTGAGAAAGCTTCTCCTAGAGTTAAAAGAAAAGAAAAGAATGATTAGAAAAATGGCTTAAAAGATTCATGAATGCAAAGGGTAGAGTTAAGTTCTTATATTGGGATTAGAGATGGGATTGCCATTAGAGCTTCATTTGATGTACTCTGGGTAGATGAGATCTTATCTCTGTATGCATAGCTTGGGACTTACCTTTAGCATTCTACTAAAGCTTAATCATTTTTTGAGAGATCCCCTGTTACTGAAGCATATTCTGTAAAGGACCATCTTTGTTTCTTGACCTTTTACCTTAGCCAAATGAGTTCATTGATGATGCATTGCTTGATTCACGTTCCAGAATTAATGAATGTTAAAGGGATTGGTAGATTTGAAAACATGTGTAGGTCGAGCATATGAGTCGGATTGATTGATAATGAGGCATGGCTAACGTTTTTAAGTAGAATTCGATCTTGCAGCTTAGAACTTTCAACTTGGACATTGATTTCATCTGTTTTATCTGGTGCTTTGGCTCTGAGTCCTCGCTTTCAAACCTCACCTCCAGCTTGTTCTTGATTGTTTGCTTGAGGGCAAGCAAAGACTAAGTTTGGGGGAGTTGATAAGTGTGTATTTTGCATGTTTTGAGCATCCATTTGTCATCACTTTAGCATCATATCATCACTGTTTTATACCATTTCTCATCATTTGTCATCACTTTACATGTTTAGGATAGATTTGCATACATGTTGCATATTTGCATTGATTTCAGGTGATTTGGAGCTGTTGACGAGCTATCTGGAAGAAGCGGGACGGATCATGTCAAACCACTCAACCCCGAGGTCGAGTAGAAGCTTCAAGATCTCAACAGATCACTCGACCCCCTGGTCGAGTGGAGGACATCACTACTTCACCACATCACTCGACCCCGAGGTCGTGTGTCTTCATCCCATCACCTGACAATCACTCGATCACACCACTCGACCCCGAGGCCGAGTGTCTTCACCTTCATTGCCAGAACACTACTCGACCTCTTCACTCTACCTGGATTTGAGTATCACCATCACCACCACTCGACTGCATACTCGATGACAAGCTTCAGAGCCTTCTTCATTCCGCATTCAACGAGACACTCGAGCACAAGGAAGAAAAGAAGACTCCAGCTATTCACTCGACCACATGGGTCGAGTACAGTTCTTAATCCGTCCCAATACTGCGTCGTTTTAAGTATTAGGGTTTCGGAACATTTGGCTATAAGTATCATGTACTTCACATTTTCGCAGACAAGTTTTTATCTAGTTTTATTCCGCAGACCTTGTGTTCTAGACCTTTTGTAATCTGGATTTCTCTTTATCTATTCAGTGTTCAGTATTCATCTTTTGTTCTTGATTTCGTTTACTGTTGTTCATTCTGTTATCATCCTGCTGTTACACTGTTGTTATCATGTTTTCAACTTGTTCAACGTTTACGCTTACTGTTATGATGTTTGAGTAGTGAATAGGTTTCTGAGGATGGGTTAAAGTAGTGTAGAATTCTCAGTATGCTAGGTGATTGAGTATTGGTTGATAGATCCCTTCTGGATTAGTTGTTGTTAATGCCTATTGCTTTCTGATCAACTGGAATTTGAGCCCAGACATTTCCGCGCCCAAAAGGTGTTCGATGAAATGTCTGAACCACTAATTCCAGAGATTCGTGACCCTGTACCAAGGTATTGGTTGCAGGGAGCGTTTTGGCTTTAACTTGTTGATTCGTAATGCCTGTTAGGTTAGCTCTCGTCAATGGTGATTGAGTCTGGGACTAAGTTAACTTGAGAGTCTCTGTTGCGGTGGCACTTAGATTTGGTTAATGAACTTGTTGTCTAGGGTTAATTTATTGAGCATGTCAATCACTTGTAAACTGAGGAAACGAAACTACTCAATTACGCCATCCTTGGGAATTCTTTATCTGATTGAATTCTTTGTTTACTCTATTGTTGTTTACTGCATCCTGTTATCTGTCGCTTAATTTCTGCAATTCTTTCTATTTACTCGACCTTGTACTCGACCACCCAGTTGTCTGGCAACAAACTGTGCAGTCGAGTATCTGTGTTTTATTGTCTGTCTGTTACTCGACCTGTCACTCGACATCACCCAGTGCTCTGCAAAGAGTATTGGTCGAGTGTTTCACTGTTTCTGTTTGATTTTCTGTTTTCTGCATGTTCACTTAGGACTGCTAGAACACACCAAAACCTGTTATTGCTTGGCTTGACTTAGTGACTTCTGATCACATCTTGATTGTTAGCATCACACCCATTTGGATTGACAACCTAAAATACTACAACGATATGATTAGTGTTTTAGGATAATTGACTAAAAACCTATTATCACATGGTCCGGGTTCCTACTTCAGCTCGAATAGTTTGACCTAATGTAAAGATCAATAACATGACATAAGTTAAAAAATAGGCGGGCCTTATCTAATCAATAATAAGATGAAGTGTATAAATTAAAATTCTATTTGTTATGATAAAATAGATAGTTATGAAATGTATAAGATTAAAATTATTGAATTAAATATTAATTTTGTGGATTACTATTTTGAATCATAGAAGGGGAATAATAATAATTAGTTGAATTCCTTTCTTCTATCGTGTATCCCTGAATTTTTTCTCTCTCGATCCGCTTGATTTCAGGTTTGATTCAAATCTCTGATTACATATCCAGTTATTAGGATTTTGTAGAGAGACAAACTTAGATCTATGATTTTTGGCTTTGATTTAAATCAAAGAAAACAGGAGTTTACCGACTAGAACACTAGTCGTTTCATAGTCATAAACAGAAATAATACGACTAATAGACGACTAATCAGAGTAAAGTTACGACTACGTAACAGTCGGCATGAAATAGTCGTCGATTGGTCGTAACATTTGGCGACTATATAGCAACTATGATACGATTAATTAACCTGTTTATGGGGGATTATTCGTGTAGTCGTAAAATAGTCGTACTTCTATTGACGACTACTTTGCGACTAGTTTACGATCAATTGTATTGAACTGTGGGCACTATTCTGGTTGTCGTATCTTAGTCGCTAAATAATAGACGACTATTGTACGACGCCTTTACGATTACTTAATGACTCTCTTATATTGTCAGACAATAGTCGTTAATATTGGTGACTATTTTACGACTATGATACGACTATTTGACGACTATTGGACGACTATTTGACTATTTTGGACGACATTTTGTGTCCAAATAAGAATTTGGTCATATCTTGATTTCTTTGTTGGTTGGTCATCGATTCTGAGAATTCGGTTTGTTTGTTGTTCTAAATGCTATAAAGTATAACAAAAACACATTTTTATGAAAATCCTATCAAATACATAAAACACAACTTACACTTAAGGTTCAAAGTACTAAACACACACACAAACATTATTGTTCAAAGTTCAAGTGAAAAGGGACTGAAATCTAAACCTATTGATCATTCTGTGGAGTAGCTGGTAGAGGCTCTGTGGTTGTCGAAGATTGAGAGGCCATGAAGTCAAGGAATTGCGGATCTGTTTGTCGGAGATACTTCTCCACTAAAGACAAGTGTTCGAGCTTGTCCTTTTGCTCAGCCGTGATTCGGGCAGTCTCAGCT